AGGCTGCACACAAGCTGCCGGAGCAGAGCTGATTCCATCAGGGGCCCCAGATGCTGGACATGGAGTGGCAGGATTTTTTTTGTTTGGTTTTGTTTGTTTGTTTGTTTGTTTCCCTTGCTGGTGTTAGACTCAACTTGTGTGAATTATTTTTCTGTATTACTCCCATATGACTGGGTATTTATTCCATACCATTGGACATTGGAAATATGTAACTTGGTTGTTTTATTTTCTATGGCCTCACAGTTTTATTTTATTTTCTATGGCCTTACAGTTGAGAGGGCACCTTGAGTCCATTAACAGACTAGCATTTCCTCGAGTAAATGATTTTCGCACTGTGAGATGAAAATGAAAGTTTCTGGGCCAGGACCAACATCTGAAAGTTGACCTCTGCTCTCCACACACGTCCACAACCCCCCCCCCCCCCAACAAAGAGCAATAAAACAATCATAACCAGAGCCGGATACCTGGCTCAGCAGCTAAGAGTGCTTGCTGCTCTTTCAAAGGACATGAGTTGCTCCCCAGTACCATGTTAGGCATCTTACTACCACCTGGAGCTCCAAATCCGAAGGCTCTGACACCCTCTTCTGGCCTCCCTTGCTACCTCCACCGAGGAACAATACACACACACACACACACACACACACACACACACACACACACACACACACACGAGACACACAATGTGTCCAAGTGAGTCTAACCCAAATTTCACCTGTCTCCTCTATTTTGCACAAAGTTCTTTGGGTGGCGTCTATACTCCCCTTAGTACTGTTGTGGGTTAGTGTGATCTGAAAATTATAAAATCAAAGGTAATAGTCACTCCAGCATATTTATTGGAGTCAGGACTGGATTGTGCCAGTTTGGATTTTCAACTGAGACTCAGTGCTCCAGTCAACAAAACTAAGTCCTTTGAGTTACATTTCCAGCTGTTTTACAACTCTCAAACCTGAAATCTTTTCCAGTTCCTTCAGTGAGGAGGTAACATGAAAAGAAAGTCATAATATGGAGTCAGCGGAGCGTGAAACTCAATGAGAGGGCAGGTGCCGCGTGAGACAGGCCCTGGACTCCAAACCTAAAACTGACAAAGTAATTTCAGAGACAGTATTTAGTTGAGAGCATAGGGACTGTTAGATGGATCAGCAGTTAAGAGTACTTGTTACACAATCACGAGGAACAGAATTCGGATCCAAGCACCACAAAAAAAGCTAAGCACCGCACACATGCCTGTAATCCCAGCTCTGAGGGGAGCAGACACAAGAGGATGCTGGAGCTCAATGGCTTCTAACTTAGCCAAGAAAACGGGAGCCCTAGGTTCAGAGAGACTCTGCCTCAAAGGGCTTGGCAGAGAGTCATAAAGAAGGACACAAGACGCACTCTTCTGGCCTCTGTACACACAGGTGCATGCCCCAATACACACATGAGTGTGTATATACTCACAAACATACAAATCTATCTAAATGAGTAGAGAAAACTAACAAAATTAAGCATATGTTGCACTTTTGTTTTAAAGCCATTTATCAAGACATGAAAATGAGAAACTATTTTTATTTATTCATTTTTTGAGACTCACTTTCATTTTATAGCTGTAACTCATTATATAGCTGAAATTGACCTTGACTTGATCTTCCTGCATCCTTACCCCAGTGCCAAGAGTACAGGCGTGTGCTACTATGTCTAAAATTCTGTATTAATAGTCTTATGACAACAGGGGACTAATAAAAGCCAGAAATCACAGGGAAGGGAAATGTTTAAGATCCCCCTGCATAGGTTGGAACTTCAGTGGAATACATCACTAGGGAGAAGGAAGTGGCTGAGCCTGCTAGTGTGATCTCATTTTAAAACTAAGCTGCCTTAGTGACCTTGGAGATCACAAGTGATGAGCACAATTTAGCATCATCCTCAAGGGCTCCAAGACTCCTGTCTTCTGAGAAACTGTCCTTCAGTTCTACAAATATTCCTTTAGAGATGACATGAGAGACCTAATGTAATGGCCCACTACTATTATCATGCCGAGGCAGGAGAATCACTAAGGATTAATTACAGGGAACCTTGGAGTTGGCCTGGCTTAACTGCCATGAGAGGCATGTGTCGTATGTTTTTTGGGTTCGAGTCCATAGCTCCTGGGGCACAATGTTCCTTCCAGTCCCTGAGAGACTGATGCACTCCCTCAAGCAATGACTCATTCAAGCTGCTTTGCGTTTCTCCATGTGTTCCCTTAGAAGTCAAGGGAACATGGAAACTTGACAGGACAATTGGCTTGAGACATTAATCTTGTGTACCCAGGATAGCTTGCAAACATCAGTGTATCCTGGCACACGAGGTCTCGCTCCTCGCTGGGGAGCAGTCGACAGTTGATGGTTACCGAGGGGTGGCTATCATTCTTCTTCAGGAGTGTAGCCACCAGCAAGCTGCACACGATGCATACATGCAAACAACTGTATTTACCATGGCAATTGCCGTTATATTCTGTTTCTGATAAAGGTATAAAAAGTCCGATTGTTCTCAATAAAATTGCTACAGATTAAGTTTTACTTTGGACCCTCCAACTGGCCTGGCTATGTTCATCATGGACACATCAAGTGACCTTGGCCTTGTAAGTAAACATCAACAATTACAATGGATAAAAACAAAGTGATGATGGACATGTAATACAATTAAGAGTAGGCCTTAAAATGGCAATCTTACCAAAAGCAATCTACAGATTCAATGCAATCCCCATCAAAATCCCAATACAATTCTTCACAGACTTGGAAAGAAAAATACTCAACTTCATATGGAAAAACAAAAGACCCAGGATAGCTAAAAGAATTCTATAC